CAGCGACACCCCAACGTTAAGATGAGATCGTTCAGAGCTTCGCAAAAAAAAAAGAAATCGACACCTTTACGACTTTTTTTTTCGAAAATTAAAGCCTCGAGAGACAAAACTGCCTTGTAAAGCCCGCCCATTCATGGAGTTCCGAAAGATTTCTACAACTTAACTGGAGCAAAACCTGAACTCAATGTGATGCGAATGCACACAAACACATAAAAAAGAATCATCATAAGAACCCGACTGCTGTACAGAAGTCGTGCAATGCATCATAAGAGAGAGAGAGAGAGAGAGAGCAAAGAGGTTTCTACGTAAGTGTGGAACGATAGCGACGCTAATAAGAACGGATTGCCCCGTAATTATCACGGGATTACCATTATGAATGAGCACAAAAGACGGGACAAAACCGTTCCTACGAGACATTCGCTACTTGACCCGAAGTATGAGAGGATCGTATGTGCCGTATCGCAACATTAACGCAGCAGATGCAAGCGATCCCTGTCACTGGGACAAAGGATCCCAAGAGCGATCACAACAGTGTGTTGCCGGGGCAGAACGATTTGACGGCAACTCGAAGGTGGGACAGCGAAAAAACTTGCCATACACAAACACCTCCGTTATGCCCAAGACCACATACAACGTTACATGAAGAACAACGGTTAGAAAAAAAGAAACGAACAATTATACAAAATTATAAAAAAAATAAACTGCTCTAACAACCTGCCAATTAAAAGAACAATTTAAAAAAAACGCAGTGCAGAAGGAGATATAACTTCGACAAATGAGAATAGTAGATGGAGAAATGGACTACGATTGTGGTGAGTTAGTTAGGAAATCTGGAACAATAATATGAAATAGTAAATACGGACCGCTAAGCGATAAATGTAAGATGAGAATACAAATATCGTGTCGTCCACAGGACAAATGAACTTGGCCAAGCCACACATGCCTGGAAAATGACAGCATCACCTAATAAGGTGGTACAAGATAACATTTGAAAGTATCAATGCATTATCCATATATTCAATTGCCTACATCTTTATAGAGGCCATGACAGTTCACACTGCCTTTATTGGTGCCAGTTTGCCGATGAACAAATCAAAAATACCCTGTGTTATAGAGTGATGTGTAAAACTTTAGCGCCAGGCGGGACTAGAACCCGCACCTCACTCTTTCCGGGGAATGCGTCCTCTATCCGTTACACTACTGAAAGATCAAGAATATATCTTTATGTTGAAAGAAGGACAGTGATGAAAATAGAAGTAGATCGGTGTACCGTGTTAGAGTGCCGTCTACAAGAATTCATCGGTTCATCGGTGTGATAGCAGTGCTATAGGTTCTAATTAAATGTCCGAAAATGCTGAATGAAATTCAGGACTTTCAACCCCAAGAGGGAGCCCGTTCTTCACCCACAGCAAAGACGTGTTCTATCACTACACCACAAAAGCCACCGTTCTGTTGGCACTTTCAAAAGCTTTGTATATCACTCAGCAGCCTACTACTAGGATTAGTGAATATAGAAATGAAGGACGATATTTTTTAGAATAAGAATTTCCAGTGCAAATATGCTCAAAATCGATTAATTACTAGCAAATACAAATCTTCTAGTTTTACCTCACGATGCAGAAACAGCAGCGATGAGATGGAGCGGATGTACACGCATTCCTGATGGTGGACGAAGACCTGATTTTCGTAATTCTCCACGAAGAACTGTGACTTCTCCGACGTCATTCAACGATGGGGCACTTGAGCAAGTTGAGCTCGTTTCCATGTCCATCTGACCTCCAACGCTACTACCCATTGACGAATTGTCAGACTGCGTATTATCGGCCTAAGAGCAGACTTCATTGATTCTTCCCCAGACTGACCCTCTGTTAACCACAGTATCCTTCGGTAGATCAAAAAGTTTTTTGCAAGTCAAACGCGAGGTTTATATGATACGATTTTCCCGATAAGCTGTCGTTTCCGCAGTTTCGTCTTCTCCAGAAGCCAGAAAGATTAGGTTGCACATAATCCAATCAGGCAAACACTTCATTACTTGAGCAGAAACATCACCAAATCTAGACTTCAAACGCTTCAAGCACCGAACAACTTCTCATTATAATATACTTACGCTTTTTACGAGTCTTTCACTGAGTTGCCCCAGTGGAGACCAACCACAAAGACTGCAAATACATCTCCCTCATCAAAATAGCAGTTGTTCTAGGGCAAAAATCACTGCCTAAAAAAACACTGCGTCCTTTTTGGTTAGGACACACGTGGATATCGCTGCAACCGCGACACTTGCCTTGCACGCTCCCACATCAGCTCTGTATAGCTATTTGCTCGGATTTTGGCATCCTGTTGCTAATGAAATGTGTGGCATTCAGTACTGATGTCCAGGTTTCAAGTGGAAATCATAATATATCGTGCCAGATCACACTCAATGATAATGAGGCATTGCTCCTTGTGGTTCATGTCCGGATTTATGCAGTTAACTTAAAATGCTGCTTGAATTACTCCCTGAGATTTACACTCCTGTTTGAGGATGATGACTCTAAACCCTCCAAGTTATGCTTTCATCGCAAGAGTTTTCTTTGTTAGTCCTCCGCGTTAACACATAATGAGGAGATTTTGAAGGAGTCTCTATCCTGAAACTGGAACACAGAACATCAGCGTATGAGATTTAAGTAGCACTTTAGATAAATGCCATAAATCCACAGATCAACCACAAGAAGGAATGTCTCGTTATCTCAGGTGATATGGCAAATTATTCAATTCTATTCCCTTGAAGTGAGAGTTGCATCATCAGTATATGTGGTCTCTGCACCTTGATTTCCACTTGAACAGTTTGGTGGGAAAACTTGTAAGAAAGGCCGAGTATGTTGAAAGGTTGCTTTGCGTTTGATGCGATTAGAATCCAAGGCTGGTGATTTTTCTTTGAAAATGAAGGGGTTAATTGGCTGAGATTTTGGCAAGCTCATCTTTCCATGCTATAAAGAAGGCGAAACCGCAAAACCTCAGCTTATCGAGTAAATCGTATCACAACAACTGAGCGTTTGACTCACAAAGAAGACCCTTCTATTCAACAACTCAATTTTAGAATACCGAAATAAAGTGCCTCTCACCTCACATAACCACTCAGTAGGTGGTAATGGAATGGCACGTGCTGTCGGTGAGTCAATGAACTTCGAACCAGCATAACAAGGACTTCCACTGAGTCTCGAGGTGAATGAGATCGGACGGCGATTGGGTCGTCGAGAACCCTGTAAGCGATGATTTTATAATTCAACTTACTATTACTAGAGTTACAATTAGAGGAGTCTGGACAGTACCTCTTGTCTGCTTCGTGGAGTTGGTGGAGCAGATGTAGAACCTGACGATCCAAAACTGTTTACATGTTGCTGCTGATTTCGTCGATGTGATCGAGGCACACTTGAAGGTGAGATGTTCATTGTTGATTTGTAGGAAATTTGACCGAGATTATTATGGATATTGTTGAGATGATGGGGCAATATGACGTCCTTGTGACGGTATTACCTAGAAATGTATAGGTATAACCCCAAGATACACACGGACTGATTGTTCTATGCAGCCAAGTGAAGACACCAGGACCTAAGTGGCATGACGGGAATTCTAGGCCGAAAATACGCGAGCGAAAAGAACTCTCAAAGCTAATTCTATGCCGAGATTATCTGACTATCTTCCTTTTGTTCAAATTGTTCGCCAGACTCGACGGTCAAATGTTATTCGATTGACAAGGAAGTTTTCGTCCTTGTTGATTAGTTTGTAAGCATCTACGTTTTCATTTCTACTATCGTTTAGAGCAGCTTCTTGCGGTTATTTTGATTAGTAACACTTATAAATTTGTTTGGAAATATTCTTTTTTCATCCGAATTCCCAACAGCAATCTCTGCAGATACTTGCTGCTATCGTGCGTCTAAAATTACCTTCTATGTCTTTTTTGTTCAAATTTTATTTTCGTCTACGAGACAAGCGGCGATAGAGATCTTCACATTACGTTACACACTTGTTAGGTTGGCAAAAAAGTGGGGAACTTTTTGGTTTTTATTGATTATTTTTCATGGATTTGAGTTTTCGTTGTTACAGTAGTCTAGAGTAGCTTCTTACGGTTATTTTGATATATAACACTTACATTTGCTTTGAGATGAAATTGTCCCGAGAGCAAAAACGATTCTTGATGCTACACGAGTATCGTTGCGTGCCAAAGCAGCACTTCACCTCAAGCAATACTCGTATAGCATCAATAATCCTTTTTGCTCTCGGGACAATTCCATCTTGGAACTGTTACATAAGTGTCGTACGTCAAAATAACCGCAAGAAGCCGCTCTAAACTACAGTAACAACGAGAACTCAAATTCATGAAAAAAAATAATCAACAAAAACTAAAAATTTCCCCAATTTTTTTGCTAACCCAATAGCTGTGTATCGTAACGTGATGATCTCTATCGCCACTTGTCTCGCAGACGAAAATAAACTTTGGACAAAAAGACATAGAAGATAAATTTAGACGCGCTAATAGCAGCAACTGCCTGCAGAGATTTGCTCTTGGGAATTCGGACGAAAATGTCTTGCATGTCTGCTATACATAACAACTTCATCGCTAAAATTACTCTCCTGTAATAGTGGAATGTTCAATAGCTTAGCACGAACACTGACCACAATCCTCACTTATTCCGAGTTGAACAAACAAGGTTCAAAGAAACCCGACTCTCCAAGGAGAATGACCAACATCTCGCATTAATTCAAGAGCGCTCATTAAATAGTGGCAACCAGTGTAACACTATCTATTCCATCTTATCAAAATCCGAAGCCTATGGCAAGAATTACCTGATGAGTATCCTTCGTTCAGTGAGGGCGGTACGGTATACTGAACTGAACCTTGATGTCATAAAAGTCCTCCTATAACAAAGTACTGACTCAAAAATAATTCTTATTTGACCGCCGATTGCGGTGTTATGATGTTTAAATGAACCCAATGATGTAAAGTGGTGTGCAAAAACGTTTGCGTCAGCCGGGATTCGAACCCACATCTTACTCTTTTCGGGAGCAAGTGCAAAACTGTTCCACCACCGACGCTCGTTTTGCACTCCACTCTTTTTACGCTGCAACGCGTTATCTATCAACAGCCAACCGTCTACGGTGTGGCGGGGTAGTCATTATCGACACTGAACCCACTTTTGTTGACAGATATCGGGTTTCAATAATCAATCGGAAACCATCTTATTAGACCGCCGATTGCGGTGCTATGATGTTTAGATAAACCCAATGATGTAGAGTGATGTGCAAAAACGTTTGCGTCAGCCGGGATTGAACCCAGATCTTACTCTTTCCGGGAGCAAGTGCTAAACCGTTGCACCACCGACGCTCGTTTTGCACTTTGCGGAAACAGTAGAATCTGGGTTTAAATCCCGGCTGACGCAAACGTTTTTGCACACCACTCTAGATCATTGGTTTTATTTGAAGTACTGACTAGTTGATTGATTCCAAGTAGCTAGGGGCTAAAGCGAGAACGTACCTGATGTGCCGGAGAACGTGAAATCGTCGTAGATGACACTGTGCACAGCTGGAACCCTCTCTATATCGTATCGTAACACTTCACAGATGGAACCTCCACTATCGAACTCGATACCGCAGATGGCGCACAACAAAAGACGTCTTGATGGTATGCGTGTGTGTATATTCGTACTGAAATAGACTGACAGACAGACATATCCACGTGGTAATCACCTTATAGACACATGAGCAAACACGAGAAAAAGGCGATCAAACTGCGGTAAAGATAACCGATGAAATGAACGTAGCTGACAAGTATTGGGTAAAATGCGATCCAAACGAGAAATGCCATGAAGATAGCGAGAAACGCCATGAACACAATAGCCGTCATACTGAAGCGGCAAGAAATTTCCCCCACTTTTGCGTTTTTATTAGTTTTCATGCATCAAAAAGTCCAAAAAATTTCTTGCAAACCCAACAGATCTTAACTGAGAAACTTATCTTGATCACGTGTACTTGTTCTCACCCAACTCCTTCAATTCGTTTTCGTCTCTTATTGAAATGAGAGGATCTTCGACAGAATCGACCATGGCAAAATTTTCTGAAGTCGTCCCTCTGTGCATTCGTCCACACTTCCTTGACCCATATTAGGTCAGTGAACCCAGATATGATCTCAACAATTCAAAAGTTTGGCTTTATATAAATCTCGGCATTATTAGTTGATATATCAAAACCGAGAAAACTTATCTTGATTAGTTGACGCAGGGTTGGTAAAGCAGTTATAGTAGTAATTCGGCTGACCTTTCGGCGACCTGTCTTCTTCAGCGCCTGGACGTTTGTATTGTTAGTCTATCGAGACAGAGATCCAGGCTCAAGTTATAACTGCTTTACCAACCCTGGTCAACTAATCAAAATACGTTTTCTCAGTTTTGATAGATCAACTAATAATGCCGAGGTTTATAGAAAGCCGAACTTTTGAATTGTTGAAATCTTAACTGGGTTCACTGACCTATTATGGGTCAAGGAAGTGTGGACGAATGCACAGAGGGACGACCTCAAAAACTTTTGCCATGGTCAGTTCTGTCGAAGATCCTCTAATTTCAATGATAGACGAAAACGAATTGAAGTAGTTGTGGGAGACAGCAGACGCGATTCTGTTATAAAATCTACAAAACAACCCGATGTGATTATCTCAACTCTCATCGGGGCATCTCAAAAGAAGCCGACTTTCTGCAGACATGAATTTCATGAAGTTGATACACGAGGTCAACAGATAAGAATTTTTCGGTCGGCCAACGTTCCGACATCTTCGCCTTCTCCAGAGCCGATGATTCGAGTCGACCGTTTGCGATCTTTCGCTCGTTGTTGGGTCAAGACAAAGACGTCTGAAACAGTAGCCGAATAAACGTTACTTACCAACCCGTGTATGGCCAAATAAGAAGAGAAACTATGGATTGCACAATGCTTCTCCACTCGCTGCCATATGTCGCACGACCGGACGCTGTATAGGTCGCGTAAGCTGGGTCACGAAACCCTGCCTCACCCATCCTACTCGGCAGATAGTTCCCTCCGCCTATCCAATGTTATTTCATCGAGCATCTCTAGAACCTTCTGTACGAGGTCTTCGAGAACCTAACCGAGACTGAGACGCTTCAAAAACTTCGTCGCCCCAGAGTTCCAATCAATATGTGAATGAATAGATCGCATCAATTTGATTCTCCTTAACAAAGACGAGTCAATACCGAATGTTTCCATTTCTACTAATTGAACTCATCTCAATATGAGATACGTATAAAACATGCAGTTTGGAATCCTACATCAATTTCTTTCCCAACAACCTTATACGAGGAAACTTCAATACTGTCGAAAATCTCCATAGAAAGCGTAACCTCAGATCCAAGTCCCTAACGAACGGTGGCATGGCTCAATTTTATCGCTGTCCGACAGTAGTTCATGTTGTTTCATCTTTCCATGAAGAGGACCGCTTTCTTCTCGTGCTTCGCAAGGAAAGAAAAATCAGCGCAACCCATGTAACAAATTTCAACTACGCATTGTTTCCTCAGTATTATGCATTTGAACTGACCACATCTCTCTATAGTATACAGTGGCCTTGGTCCTCTACCACTAACAAACCCACGGAGATTCTAGCCATTTCATCATGTAACCAGAAAACTGTGAGCAAAAATACATCGTCTAGAACTGGAAAGTTCAATCATATTCGGCCATCAGACAAAAATGTGATGAATCTCTTCAAAATCCACTTTCATATGGGTGTTTACTACTACTACATGGGCGTCAAAATTCTTGAGAATTCTACTGAATTTTGTGAAAACGAGCACATGCATTGCCATCTGCTGATTGTAAATGTGGGAATCGACTTCCATCTAAATCACTTAAATCCTACAGTAAACATAGATATGAGCATTATACAGACATATGACTCCATCAAGCTCTGCTTGAACCATTTAACTATCAATATGCCTAGCAATCATTTTTTGAGCCACGCATGTCAGTGGTCTGTCAAAGGAAGGGCTGACCTGAAGTGACATTTAACTATCCTATTTCAAGGGGAAAAAAACAAGAATGAAATCATCGAAAAATAAGGAAATCAACTATTTCGCGTGTGAGAGAAAAACAGGATATATATTTCAACAACGCAAAAGAACGTAGATATGAACGCAAATTTCAACAGAACAGAATTTGCATAAAAATATACGTATCCATTTACTTCAAAAAACTCAACTTTCTATAGACCTCAGCATTAAAAATCGATAAATATGTATATCATAAGGACAAATGGGTCAATAAACAGACGAAACCATACAGCTCATTTCATAGATTATCAAGATTAATACACCCAATAATGTGAAGTGCCGTGCAAAAACATTGCGTCAGCCGAGACTCGAACCCAGATCTCACTCTTTCCGATCTCTTTCTCACTCTTCTCTCTCAACGGTTAGCATGCACTCCCAGATTTCCGATCTCTTTCTCAATATTCTTTCTCAACGGTTTGCATACACTCCCGGAAAGAGAGAGATCTGGGTTCGAATCCCGGCTGACGCAAATGCTTTTGCACGGCACTCCACATTATTGGGTAAATTATTGATATTGTTAATCTATGAAATGAGCGGTATGAAATCGTCTGCTCATCGACCCTCTTGTCCTTATGATTTACATATACATCGATTTTTAATGTTGAGGTCTATAAAAAGTTGAACTTCTAAAGAGACGATGAAGAGGGTCGATGAAGAGACAAAATCATACACTTTCTTTCATAACATTTGCGTCAGCCGGGATTCGAACCCAGATCTCACTCTTTTCTCCAATCTCTTTCTCACTCTTCTTCCTCAATGGTTAGCATACAGTCCCGGACTTCTTCCTCAACGGTTAGCACACAGTCCGGAAAGAGTGAGATCCGGGTTCGAATCCCGGCTGACGCGAATGTTTTTGCACAGTACTCCACATTATTGGGTATATTACAAGATCATATCTGCGCAAGTGGCATTCAGATAAAAAAAAAAATTCTGATTAATAATCTATTTACTCTGCTGTCTGACGGCAAATATAGACTTCATGCTCTCAGCTGTATAAATAGTAAAATCATCTAGGCTTTTTTAAACGATCAATCGGCTCGAATTACAAAAATATCCAAATCAATAACCACTTAAAACTGATATTTCAATGAATGAAGAGATCTGTAGAAGAGATTCTGAACTACAACTCCATTAGAAAACCAGTCAGCGAACAAATGGCTCAACTGTGGCGTCACTGAGGAGAACGAGTCGTGAGCCACCGGTATTTATACCCGAGGCAGAATCACGAGAATCAATGATGTTCTCAGAGTTCAGTAATGACTGAAAACAAGATAGAGACTGCCTTTGACCTATAAACAATCAATAATCAGGACAACAACACTGCGTCATCAGCTCTTTGAAGGGGCCTAAATGAATGACTAATGAGCAGCGGTGACAAGCGGCTATTGCTCTTACTGATAGACGACGGATGAGTCAACTTCGACTCGATACACAGGAATTCATTCGCCCTAAAAACCAGCCCCAGTGCGATTTGAAGGTCCTAGAACTCTTCCGGTGATTATCCACTGATGAAGGGGTTTGGCCGAGTGGTCAGCGATGCAAGCTGTCAGGAATTATGGTGCTCCCTTGATGCTCTCTTCCCGCAAATCCCCCCATGGGGGACGCCTCAAGTCCCACTCTGTCGCCAAAATCTCCCAAAAATCAAGGCTGGACAAAACAAACGCTCTGGCATTAATGAAGGAAGACGAGAGGCTCAAACCAAGCAAGAAATACTCACAATGCTCAAAGATTTCAGCAGACCCCGGGGTTCGGAGTCACAGAAAATCTGTGATAACCCGAGTCTTGTAAAGCAGAAAACCAGCTAAATTACAACTTCAGCCGCACAATAAACCGGCTGTCAGATAACTGGGGCCAAATTTTGACGCCAGGAGAGATTAGTGGCACGGAAAATCGCTAGAAAAGGACGCAAGCCTAACAAGGGGATAGCCCTCCCTGAGCGCCCCTAAACAACATATATTGCTCCCTCTGTTAACAAACCAGAGGACCATC